AAAATCACACAAAGATGAAATTGAAAAAGAGGAAATAAAACAAAAATTAGAAATTTAAGGATTTTGTTATTTTGTAATCTTGTATGTCCCCCTTGACGTATATATTTGTCGACATTTTACAAACTAGACTTTTAGGAAGCTTTGCGCCCCTTTTATATTTACAAATGCGGCCTTTAAATGTTGCTCTTCAAGTGGTCAGTTTTTCTCTATAATCGTTAAGCTCACATTTTTGCGAATATTTTTTGCTTCAGTCGGTGCATTTTCAAAAATATTTAAGTATTAATTTTTTTCAGGCATATTTTCTCAAAAATCAAAAATATGGTAATATACTTGGTCTGAGATAATAACCTAAAAACTGTTGGACAAAAAAACTGTCAAATAATTGTTTTTAACCAGCAGCTTAAAACTTTACTTATAAATACCCTATTTCATAGTTTCATTGGATCCACTGTATAGATTCCTCTCTTTAGAAAAGTCAAATGTTTTTTGGATTAAGCTGTTGTAGTTTTACCATATCTATAGTTTCTAGAATAAAATTGAATTTATGTAGTTTTCTTTGTTTAATTTATTATCTTTTTATTGCCAATAATGGCAGTTAGAATTCCTTTTATCTTATATAGACATGTTAGCATATATTTGTGTATAAAATACACTATCGATTAAACAGATTTACATATATGCAATAGATGGAGAAAATTAAAACAAGATAACTGTGGTTTTGTTGTTTGGTCGTTTATTAAGTCAAAATACCAACATTTAAAACTAAAATTACCCTGGGCCATGACTGGTCCCACAACAAAACTTACAATGCCAGCTAAGCACATCTGTTTTAACAAAAACACCAAAACAAAGACGTGGCTTATATCTGTTATTTTATTGTATATTTATCAGGGAAGCACTGTTAAGGATTAACTTTAAGATTTTTATGTTCTGATCTGCAGATCAGAGCATAAAAATCTTAAAATTAATCCTTAACAGGGGCGTATTCAGGGAGGCTATGGGGGCTAAGCCCCCCCTGAATCAGTTATATCTATTATATCTATTATAGACCCCAACGGGTGATGAGCCCCCCTGAAAAGATAACAAAATTTAATCCCCCCCCTGGACAAATTCCTGAATACGCCCCTGAATTCCTTTAAGTTATAGACTTTCAGTATTCCCCAATTATCTCTAGAAGTTCTGAATTTCTAATATGTAACCAATTCAATTCTTGCATGTCTGATTTATAGTTCAGCCCCTTTAACGAATATTGGGTACAAACAAACACACGGACAAGCCAAGTATATGCATATACATTGATACAATGTATACTTAAACACACAGACAAGCCAAGTATATGCATATACATTGATACAATGTATACTTAAAAGGCACCACGATAAATTGTCGAGGTTCCAATATTTCAAAACTGTTTTAATGCAAAATATAGATAAATTTGGCTTGGAACTTTGATAAGGATAAAACTGCGCAACAAGAGCTGGGAACTTTTGAATGGTGGATATCGGGATTAATGCTTGATCTCTTTTTCTTCATCTCGAGATTAAATAATGCTTGTTCTCCTCTTGTTATTAATCTCCAGATTAATTAACTGATCGGGATTAAGGATATCCCATTCTAAAGTTTTCAGCTCAGATCATTTTAAAACGATCGTTAAAAGTTAGTTTTTGGCTCGTTTTGTGGAAAATATCTTCTCTCTGGGTTTGCACTAAACCTGCTGATTAAGTATAAATACAGCCTAGGAAAGTAAATACAGCCTAGGAAAGTAATGAGTGGAACAAAATATCCAAGTCCAGAGAATTTCCACCTCTTTTGGCAGAATGAATTAAGGAAATCAAATGTTGAAAATGTAAACAATTTTGAAATTTTGTAAGATCTTTCTGGAACCCTTCAAAATTTTTTCAAAAAATAAATAATTCACTATATTCATTTCTACACATGGAGAAGTAGACAAATGTAAAGAACTGAGGTTTAAAAGAATAATTTAGAAATGATAAATGTACTTGCAGTATAGTACAATGCAAACAGATCAACAGAACCATTTATTTCAAGGGAGGATTTATAATAGAAGAACACTAAACTGGAAAACCGGAAAATACAGTGAGAATCAGAAAACAGTGAAATAGGAAGACGACATTTAAGCAATACTGAAGTGTATTTGATGTTGTTGCAAAGCAAATAGTTTTACTCGTAACCTTTTAAATAGTATGTTTACACTGCACAATTGCTATGTCTCAAATTCATTAACGTCATAACTTGAGCATGTTTTTGTTTATTTCTTTAGACATACAATATTGAAATAAGTTTATGAACATAGAAAAATTAGAATTTATAAACGTAAGATAAAATAGAGTTTCTGTAGGATAGAAACAAAATAGAGTAAATGTATACAAGAACTAGAATAGAGTAAATGTATATAAGAACTAGAATGAAGTAAATGTATATAAGAACTAGAATAAAGTAAATGTATATAAGAACTAGAATATAGTAAATGTATATAAGAACTAGAATATAGTAAATGTAAATAAGAACTAGAATAAAGTAAATGTATATAAGAACTAGAATATAGTAAATGTATATAAGAACTATAATATAGTAAATGTATATAAAAACTAGAATAAAGTAAATGTATATGAGAACTAGAATAAAGTAAATGTATATAAGAACTAAAATAAAGTAAATGTATATAAGAACTAGAATAAAGTAAATGTATGTACAAGAACTAGAATATAGTAAATGTATATAAAACTAGAATAAAGTAAATGTATATAAGAACTAGAATGAAGTGCATGTATATAAGAACTAGAATAAAGTGATGTATATAAGAACTAGAATAAAGTAAATGGATATAAGAACTAGAATAGAGTAAATGTATATAAGAACTAGAATATAAGAACTAGAATAAAGTAAATGGATATAAGAACTAGAATAGAGTAAATTTATATAAGAACTAGAATATAGTAAATGTATATAAGAACTATAATAAAGTAAATGTATATAAGAACTAGAATATAGTAAATGTATATAAGAACTATAATATAGTAAATGTATATAAAAACTAGAATAAAGTAAATGTATATGAGAACTAGAATAGAGTAAATGTATTTAAGAACTAGAATAAAGTAAATGTATATAAGAACTAGAATAGAGTAAATGTATATAAGAACTAGAATAAAAGTAGAAGTAAACTAAATTATGCAAACACTAAGTCCAGAGTATAAAATTCTACTAGAATATACAGTTTCAAGATAAACATACGAAGTGGAAGAATGAGATTTTACAGATTCAATTCAACCAATTCAACCAATTCAACAAAAACAGCAAATAAGGAAAATTTAAATCTGAAAAAGGAAATGGAGTTAAGAATAAAATGAAAAAAATATGAAAAATTATTTTACGTTACAGTCAGAGGTAAACACTTTTTGATGAAATAGCCCTAATATGAAAAACTTGAACTCCATATCCACTGTGGCATCTTTTCAATTTTAATTATTCATTTTTAATTAATAAATTGAGTTTTCTTTTCAAACTTAAATTGCAACGGCCACTTTTGATTTGTTAATATTTATCCTCATTCTTCTTTTCCATTTTTCAAATAAATTTTTATCATTCAAAGTAAATTAATTTTTTCCTTTTCAATTTTTCAATAGTTTTGTAGTTCAATAGTATTGTTTAGAAAACAGGGCTTTGTACTGTACTGTACTGTACTGTACTGTAGCAAAATATGTAAACACCTGTGGTGGGGGTTGTAGCAATAAAAGATTAATAACTATCATAACAAGATATGATAGATGATTATGGGGGTGTAGCAAGAAATGATAGATAAAGATGGGGGTGTAGCAATATATGGTAAATAAATATGGGTGTGTAGCAAGATATGATAGATAAGTATGGGAGTGTAGCAAGAAATGATAGAAAAAGAGGGGGGTGTAGCAATATATGATAGATAAAGAGGGGGGTGTAGCAAGATATGATAGATAAAGAGGGGGGTGTAGCAAGTCACGATTAATGACTAATGGGGTTTAGTAAGATATTGTAGATAACTATGGGATTTGGCAAGATATGATCGATAACTATTGGGGTATAGCAAGATATGATGATAACTATGGGGGTGTAGCAAGATATGATAGATAACAATGGGGGTGTAGCAATATATGACAGAT